CAAGAATCATAACATATGCATACTTAAAAGAAATCTCTACTCACTTGAATTCTTAAACTTTAACTTGAGTTGGATTTTGAGTGGAATTTACTTACCTTATGCTTGAGTAGTCTCTCCTAAGCTCTCTACTCTTGTTGGATTCAAATCTTCTCTTAACCCTAAGCATAAACTTCATAAGAACTCAAATTTTACACAAATTAATCATAGATAAAGAGCATGAATTCTTACCTTTTGAAGTCTAGAATCAAAACCCTATAAAAATCACTCAAAAGCCCTCAAAATCCTTGGAGGAGTGAATGAAAATTTGAGAGAAAATGGAGGAGTAGTGTGGCGGTGGAATGAAGGAAATAAGGTTACAAACCCTTATCATCTTATTTTATAAACTCACTTTCCCATTTTGCCCTTACACTTTTGTGAAAATTCCATCCTTGTCCCTTAGTCAATTACCATAATGCCCTAATTTTTATTGTATTCTTTATGAAATTCTACCTCTTTTCACTCCTTACTTTTTCAACTAATTTTGAGTGAAAAGACCATTTTACCCTTAATGCAAGTTTAAGGCATTTTCTCCATATTCTCTTAAAATAACTTTAATAAAAATTAACTAAGGGCTATAAAACATAATTTAAATCATGTACCTCCATGTTGGGCATTACAGGCAGTAGCACGGCAGTAGCATCAGCACAACAGTCAAGTGTCTTCTCTCACGGCAACAGTAGGTGTCTTCTCTCATGGCAGTAGCAGGTCTCTTCTCTCACGGTAGCAGTAGGTCTGTTCTCTCATGCAGCAACAGGTCAACACTGATCTCAGATTCTCAGTCAGCTCTTTTCTCTCACGGCAGCAGTAGCACGGTAGGTAGGATGTTTTTTAATAGAATCCAATTTGTTATTAAACTTTTAAAGCATGGAATCAAGGGTGGATCCCATATTGTTGTACGTGAGGGAGGCTTAAAAAGTTTTGAAAATAATTTTTTTATATTTACATATTTTAAAATAGTAATAAGATAATTCCTTTTATTCTTCTTTTATATATTGGAGTAATCATCATCGGATTCAGTCAATAATCTCCTCTCTCAACACTTGTCGGTAAGTAGGATGTTTTTTAATATAATCCAATTTGTTACTAAACTTTTAAAGCATTTACAACAAGACACTTATCTTATTTCTTTAAATTATTTGTTTTGTGTACATAATTCGATGTAACCACAGGATTGTAATATCCCACTTGAGGTACGCATTTAAGATTCGCTATATAAGTTTACTTTTTCAACTTCAATTGAGTTTGTATGTTGAGTTGGTTGAATGGTTGCTTTGAATTGGTTGAGTTTTGGTGAAGTTTGGGAAATCCAATCTTCGCCAGGGCGAAGAAGAAGCTTCGCTGCGGCGAGGAGAAGGAGCTGCACCCACGGGTAGGTTCTGCCCTGTTTCGCCGGGGCGACGAAAAATTCTTCGCCGCGGCGACGTGCTTAATACAAAGTTTCTTGAGTTTTCTAGAGAATTCTTCTTTTGGGGCACAATGACCATTCTACCCCTAATTAGTAGGAAAAGTGGGGAGTAAAATGAAAGGAAATTTAGTAGAGATTGTGTTTGGATGGGGGTGTATTTGTAAAGAATCAAAGGATATAGATGGAATTTCCAAGGAAGGGCAGGGGCAAAATGGGAAATGATGCTTATAATATGAGCTAAAAAGGGTTAAGTGTAGAGAAACCCTTTATTTCTTCATTCCACCGCCTCTTCCATTCGCCCACTTTCTCTCAATTTCTCCATCCAATCTTCCAAGATTTTTAAGGGATTTAAGAGGGTTTTTGAGTAGAGATTTCATCTAAAGCATCCTAAGGTAAGGATTCATGCTTTAGATGTGAGTTTTCTTATAATTGTAGTGAAGTCTTATTTGGTTGTTGCTGTCCTTGTGGTTGTTTTGAGTTGTAGAGAAGAGACAAGACCACAAAGGGAAGGAAAAGTGCTAAAGAAGTCATCTTTGCACAAGGTAAGTAAATCCTACCAACTTGAGTTTTGAATAAGCTTTTGTGTAGAGATGTATGCATGATCAGTATGTAGTATGATTAATGAGAAAATTGAATTGAGATGAGTAGCTATTTTTGTAGTTGTTGGATAGATTCCATGTATGAGAAGTGTTTTAATGTGTATTGAGAATGGAATTTGAGATGAAGTTTGAGAGATGTTGTGTGAAGCTTTTTGGGAGTGCTTTTCTTGACAGGGATTATGAGTATTTGAGGGAGTTTTCCCCCATTTTGGATGGCTAGAGAATGAAGTATAGTAGTAATTTTAGTAGAGTGTTTATATGCACATGAGTTGTTTGATGAAATGCCTAAGTGAAATCTGCCCTGTCACTGCCGTAACTTTCTAAGTAATTTTTGGGCATCTTACGGTTTGAACTGGGCTGAGACCAAAACATAGAAGTTATAGCCCTATTTCTAAGCTTTGAAACGAGACCAGAACCGTAGTAATCAGAGGTGTATAACGAAAGTTATGGTCTTTTTAGTGTGACCTGTGCAGAATGACGGTTTTGAGGAAATCTTGTAGTTGGCATTTCATTAGTGCATTAGGGAGCATGAGCTAGCTCTACACCTTTGTTTATACACTTGAGAAGTAGCTTGAGATTTAGTAGAGAATTTGAGTATAAGTTCTTTAAGAGTTAAGAGAAAGAGAATAGAGTAGGTTGTGCGATGGGGAACCCGTGAGTAATGGGTAGAGTATTCCCGCATGTACGCCGCATTGAGAGAGCGGCATGAGTATCAGATAGAGAAGTGGTGTAGCCCGTGAGAGTGCATGCGGATGAGGGCTATACCCGAGTACCCGAGAGAGAGAGATTATAGACTCACATGGCCAAGGGTTCCGAATCCATGCATAACCGAGTCCGATCGGCTAGAGTGAATAGAGGTCACGTAGAGCGGGAGTGAGTCCCGGCCGTGCCCCCGGTGAGATGGGGTCGTGATTTATGAAAGAGTTATGAGAAAAGAGTTTCTAAGAGAAAGAGAAAGAGGAAAAGAAAGACGTACCCAAAGAGATATTGAACGGGGAGTTGTAAGGAAAGAATTAGAGATAGAGAGTTACGGGGCTAGTATGAGTAGAGGATTTACTTACTGAGCATTATTTTAGTGCTCACCCCGTTGTTTTCCCATGTTTTGCAGGACCTAGGTGAGGACACTGTCGGATGGATGTCGGCGTTCGAGAAGAAGCGGTTACACTGTCCCTTATGTTTTTGATGACTTTTGTATATGTTATACATTTTATGTAAAAAAATGTATATGTTTGTAGAATATATATATATCTATGTTTAATAAAAGAAAATTTTGGGCCCAATTTCTTTATGTTATTTTATATGTATTTCATTATAAGCTTTTGAGTAGTAGTGGCTATTACAAGGATACTGACCATGGACCGAGATTATGTTGTGTCCGGAAATCTTGATATTTGAGACTCTAGTCAAATGCAACTAAGAAAAACCATGTTCATATAAAAATGAGGAATTTTTTTGTCTTCTTCATTGGCCCTTGCTCAAATATTGATTGCATCTTGAACCAGTGAAACCTTCATTACATTTGACTCGCATTAATTAATTTCGTAAATTAACCAAGGTAAGAATTGCTAGTTATAGTGTTATTGAAGGTGTGTTTATTTTCTTTTGACTCAAATAATGATGATTCACAGCATATACCACATTATAATTTTTTTTTTTTGGATGAATTGTTATGATTGGTTATTGGAGTTGAGGGGTGTTGATTGTTGAGTTGGAAAAATTCAGTCATTTGGTAGGGCTGGTTTGCTTGTAAAATATATGGGAGTGTTTTTTTTTTTTTTTTTTGATTGTTGAGTTGGAAAAATTCAGTCATTTGGTAGGGCTGGTTTGCTTGTAAAATATATGGGAGTGTTTTTTTTTTTTTTTTTATTGGACGAATTGTTATGAATTATGATTGGTTAATTAATTTAAATGTAAATACTTTGTTGTGTCCTTTAGATTGGCTTGGTATGGAGGAGTCTACAGATTTAGGAACGGGTCGTAATGTAGCCGTAGGTCAAGTTTGTTCTACTGGTAGTACTGTTTGTCCAAAAAGACATAAAGTTTCAGATGTTTGGGGTCAATTTACAACATATATAGAAGACAATGGGGAGGTGAGGGCAAAGTGTATGATTTGTAGTAAGTCTCATGCACATGGTAGTTCCAGTCATGGGACTAAGAATTTGGGGCGCCATATGGAAGGTTGTCCTAAATGTACCATTACTAGTAGTGTAGATCAAATGATGATGGATTGTGATACTAAATTGAGACGTTTAAAGATTTCTCGAGAAATTTATCTTGAGAAGATGGCAATAGGAATCATAAAACATAATTACCCATATTCAATAGTGGAGCATGAAGGAATTAGAGATGTTCACATGTATTTGAATCATGAAGTTAAGCATTATACTAGGAACACCGCTGAGGCAGATTGCTTAAAGATATATTATAGGGAGAAGAAAAAGATTAAGCTTGCTTTAGAGAGGGTTTCGAGTAGAATATGCTTGACTTCTAATATTTGGAGTTCTTATACTACTAATGGGTATATTTCTTTAACGGCTCACTATGTTGATGAGAATTGGGAGTTACAAAGTAGAATTCTGAATTTTTACCATATTCCTCCTCCACACTCGGGGGCTCTTTTGTTAGACATAGTGTATGATTTCTTAAAAGATTGGGGGATTGAAAAGAAAGTATTCTCTCTTACATTAGACAATGCAAGTAACAATGATAAAATGGAAGACATTTTAAGGAGTCAACTTTGTGTGCAAAATGCTTTATTATGTGATGGTTCTTTTTTTCATGTGCAATGTTGTGCACATATCTTGAATCTCATAGTCCAAGGAGGTTTAAAGGTGAGTAGCGTGGCTTTGCATAAAATTCGTGAAAGTGTGAAATATGTTAAAGGAAGTGAGGCTAAAAGAATCAAGTTTGGATAACTTGTTAAAAAAATTGGTGTGATAAGCTCAAAAGGATTGATAATGGATGTTCCCACGAGATGGAATTCCAATTATTTAATGCTTGAAAGTGCGTTAATATACCGTCGTGTGTTTGTTTATTTGGCACTGATAGATCCCAATTATAAAAGTTGTCCTTCAGATGAAGAATGGGATAGAGGGGTGAGGATTTGCAAGTTCTTGCAACCATTTTATGAGATCACTACTCTTTTTTCGGGTTCCCAATACCTCACAGCAAACTTGTACCTCAGAAATGTGTGGAGAGTTCAAGTGCGTTTATATGAAGAGATGGAAAATGAGGATGAAGTTCATAGTACCATGGCAAGTCAAATGAAAGGAAAGTTTGACAAATATTAGGATTCTTATACTGTTGTGTTAGCAATTGCAGCAATTCTGGACCCACATTTCAAGTTTGAGTTTGTTGAGTTTTATTACAAAAAAGTTGATGGCCCAGTAGTTGCAACAAGAAAGTTGGAGTTGATCAAGCAGGAGTTGTATAGGATTTTTGCTGCTTATGAGGGTCTAAGTGGTAATGAGGTTCCTAGTGATCCTTGCGTACAGGCTAGTAATCCTAATATCATTGGAGATGATATTTGTGTAAGTCAATACTCCTTAAATATTTTTATATTCTTGTGATTAATAAGGTTTTCTTTATTTTGTAATTTTGCTTTATTAAATTTAAATATTTAAATGGTGTAGGAATTTGACTACTACAAGAGTGACTTTAGTGCTACTAAGAAGTCCGAATTGGATACTTATTTGGGAGAGGCAAGGTTTGATCGCATCAAATTTTGCAATTTGGATATCCTGGACCATTGGAAGAAAAATAGTGATCGATACCCGATACTTTCGATGATAGCCCGTGATGTGATGAGTATACCAATAACGACTGTTGCTTCGGAGTCTAGTTTCAGTGTTGGTAGCAAAGTGCTCAGTAAATATCGAAGTTCACTTTTACCGGAGAATGCAGAGTCTTTGATATGCACCAGGACATGGATTTATGGATATGAAGTTAAAGGTAACATTTTAACTTATATTTCACATGTTTTTATATTTTTGTTTGTTAATATATTACGATAGTTAACTTATATTTTGTTAATCGTAGAAGATGAAATTGATGATGCTCAGCTGCTTGTGCCATTAAGTCAAGTGTCGAGGAAGGAGATTGCATAATCAAGGGCGGCTTTGTTTGTTTAGTGTGTTTGGTTAAACAGTTCTATATGTTTAATTGTTTAGTGTTTACTATGTTATGTATGTTGAATGTTAAATAATTTTATATGTTTAGTGTTTACTAATTACTAATTAATATGTATGTTTAGTGTTTATTAATTCTATATGGTCGAGTTTGATATAAATATGAAAAATATTAATATTGAATTAATAACGTTTGGTGAAATCTAATCAAATTTAATTTAATCATCCATTTATTTAATATAATAAGTTAATAACCAATAAGTTTAATAAATGAATTTTATATCAAGTTTTTAAATCAATACAATTTAGTATGCAATTTGAAATTTTGAATAAAAATAACAAAAATATGGAAAAACAGTGAAAAACATGGAAAATATAAAAAATGACATTTTTTCGCGGGTGACCCGTACCCGCCCGTGTATATGTCGACCCGTCAGAATATTTTACCTGCGAACCCGTGACCCATTCCACCCGCGACCCATTGCTATCTGGTCCATACCCGCCCAACCCGCCTGTTTGCAGGTCAGTATATTAAAGAAGGTTTTATCAATATTCTAAGTCCTAAATTGGTGTATACGTCTAATACTAAAGTTACCAACAATTTATAATTTAACAAAGTTTCACATAATTAATGCATGATAAATCAACTAATCATGCGACTGGTGCATCAATATATATTATATATACAGACATAATATTTTATAATTGGTTGATTGTATATACATCTTTTATAAGATAACTTTTTTTCGTTTTGGACAAAATGAGCGGGATTACGCAATGTAAAAAATAAATTGTGAATCAATCTTTATTAAAAAAATAATAGCTAAAAAGATTGGGGGATGAAGATTAGAAACTTCCAACAATTTTATCGTGGCTAAGCTCCAACTTGACCACGCCTGCGCCTCTAAGCTTATTCGCTTAGCGTCATAAGACCCTCACCTTGATACCAATTGAGTATGAATCCCATTGTATTATTCCTAATGAAAGTAGAAGCGATTGATATCATCTCTCTTTTCTCAAGGCAATGATATTATACTCCAAATGATCATTACTTAAAATCAGAGAGAAAACATGAAATGCTTCATTTGGAGAAATAGATTCACGATTAAAAGTTCTTCCCGTGTTTTTCTTTTTTATAAGTTAAAAAATGATATCTCTATCATTATATGTTAATTACAATTAATATACAGTCGTCACTCAATCTTTCAACAATTTTGCCTCCAATTAAAAGGCATTCAGCGAATGCTTGCCTCAGCCAATCTTCCTTTTGGTCGTGCAACAAGCAGCTCATAATCCTGCATATTTCTATAAATTAGGGCTGACCACATAACCAAACTAGACATAGAACTCTACTTGTGCTTCATTTTACTTATCTACTTTTCAAATCTTTCATATTCCTATCAACTATATTCATTTAACCTTACACTAACAATCAATACCTTGTGCGCTCCCCCCTCAATGCTAAAACAGTTTTGCTTAGTTTGAGCTTTCTCACAAAAAAATTCTGCTAAGGCCATTTTTAAGGAAGAAATTGTGGTAATGAAAGACAGCAGATAATAAACGTTTTGACCGGACAAAATGTACCTGTATGATAGCTTGAGCACAAAGCTTTCCTGACAACACTGCACCTTCCATCGAAGCCAGATACTTCTGTTTTGTGTAATCCCCAGCTAAATAGAATCCCTCTATTGGAGATCTTTGTAAGGGACGACAAGGTTCACAATTTGGGACAGTCTTGTACACAGACCTGAAATAATAAGTTAGGCTTTGAAAATGGACAAAATCAAATGAAGTACAAGAATGGAAATCGTTGATGTAGTTATTGACAATCGTTATGACACTACATGTAGAAGCATTTGCTAAAGGTTAAACAATATATAGTAGTGAAAAGTACTAGGCAGGATTGACAAATTTTGAATTAAGTTGAAAAATCAAATTAGACTGCTGTCCAGCACTAAATGACCATTAACCGTTTTTATCATGGCATAAATAAACGAATAATACTACACTTATAAAGAAATTTTACAAAAATCTTCATATAAAGTGATATGGCAAAAAATAAATGGAAGAGTGAATTTAATGAGTTTTCACTCTTCCATTCATTTTTTGTCACATCACTTTGTATGAAGATTTTTGTAAAATTTCTTTGTAAGTATAGTATTATTGTAAACAATATGCAAGAGATCATCCACTTTTCATCTTATGTGTCTTATATGTCTTACAAATGTAATCAATTTCACCCCTTATAAACATCAAGAACTTCTCATTCCCAGGCACTAAGGGATGTACAACCACCCTACTAGGGACCAAAGAGTGTCTTTGCTTGCAAGACATTCAAAAGTTTCTTTTGCACATCAGCTACACATCCAACTGGGTTTAATTAATACTATCTACTATGAGCCAAACTATGTTCGATAATGTTTACTTTGAATCCCAACATCATTCTGCAGTCAAGATCCACAAGACCTTGTTTTTGGATTTTAGTACCCAAAACATGTCTTGCATATGCAAGTAACTTCATCCCAAAAGAAATAAAAAACTTCTCTTCTTGGCTGGTGTATGATATCACAATCAAGCCCTCTCGTAACCCAACCTCCTTGCTTGGAAGGTTGGAAGACCCTCGGAGATTTTTTTGCATGTCACACACTTTCTGATATGCAGGCAACTTGCTCCCTTAAAAAATCAAAAAGTTCTCTTCCTCGCTGATTTATTTTGTCACAATCAAGCCCTCTTGCAATCCAAGCGTCCTTGCTTGTAATACCCTTAGAGAAACTTGTTCACACCACCGACACTTCGATCGGGATTGGCCTTAATGCCATCTATCATACTCAAAATTCACAAGACAGTCTACTTTTAATCTCGAGTTATTTCGCACTAAAAGAACTGTGCAGTTTTTTTTTTTTTTTTTTTTTTGAGCTTTTATAACCCAACATGCATGTGTTTTAAAGATGTAAGCAACTTCATCCCTTATTAAGATCAGAGACTTCACAAGTAATGTGGGATGTCACAATCACCCGATCAGAAATTCTCTTTCCCAATCCGTGCGGATGTCACAAATTCAAGTGATATTGAAGATAATTTGTTGCATCAACAAAAACTTAATATGTTAAATAAATCTAGGATTGGAACCTTTGAAATTTACAGAAAGGTTTAAAAGGTTGGCCATCTAACCTTGGTGTTTTTACAACATGGTACTTCACAATTTTTGCTTTGCTTCGATCAGCAGAAATTTCGTCAGGAAAGAGTTTAGCAAGCTCCTTCATTGTCGCATCAATTATTTCTGAGTCATTGCGTGAGATCCATTCTTCAGTAGGGGCAAAAACTAACTCCAGCATGGATTGGTTAGGGTTGTGATAGTCCTACATAAAACAAGGAATCACGAATTAACCACTTTTTGCATAATCAAAGAAAGATGTAGTTAATGCAGTTGGTCTGTACTTTGAATAAGAAAACTGGGTAAAAAGATAGACATCGACTTATATACTGTCCAACATATTTAACAGAGAAGAGCGTACAATTAACTGTCAATATCAATTTTTTCCTAAATATTTAAACATAACAGGGTAGTTCCTTCATGTGGTGCCTAACCAGCACAGCTACCCATGCTTGCAATATATTAAGCAAAAGCTGACCATTACCAGGTCAAAATTTAAAAGTTTATGTTATTTCCCACTAATCAAGGGTAGGGTGTAAGGTAGAAATAATGAATTTAAAGGTACAGGCAAACAAAAAAATGCTGTGGTTTAGTATATATGCGTTCAACAAGGAGAGAAAAATAGCCAACGGGGAGTCAATAAATTAGAACTTTACCTTACATGTTACAGACATGTCAGTGTACACACTCAATAGAGGACTTCTGTAAGAGAAGGAGACGTACAGATGAAACTCAATACACAACCAAAAAGCAATATTACTAGATACTGTAAGATAACATCAAGCAGAACCGAAAGAAAAACTCTCCTTCAACCATGGGCAACCTAAAAGGCATTAAGATAGTCCAATTACTATTAGCTTTGTAAACCAATCTGCATTGAATCGCTAATGACTATTGCACAAACAGCACTGAGGATTAAGCATTAACTAAGGGCAGGACCTGCTGAAGAGTAGATGATCATATGTGTTTTTCAGTTTCCTGACGAACCTGCAGATGAAAATAATCTGTATCAGTTAACCACTGGACTCATGATTTAGCAATCACTGATGACTAACTGTAGAAATGAAGTTGCCAACAATTCCCAAAGATAGCCGATTATATACGATAAGAATCCAATTGACTGTTCAAAGAAGGAATGAGTATTCATTTGTCAATCAGTTAATTAGTAGCAAATGATAATGAAATTGAAAGTAAATAAATGAAGAAAAAGAGTGATGAATTGATAATATAAAAAGATCAATTCATATGAATTTCCCAATTTACCTAAATAATTGCATTTTCAGAACATTTTAAAGCTTGAAATAAATTTTCACTTGCTATCAACTTACCTTTCCATTTAAGGGAATTCACGGACAAAGACATTTGAACAAAGAAATTAATTAAAATGCGTGATGATATAGGACAAGTTCTAGTAATATGATTTTCTAGGCCAAATCATTTGAACAGAGAAATTTATCAAAACTAGTGATCATGTATAAAAAAAAATGCAACTTTCCCTATGTTACACCAGTACTTTGGATTGGGAGACCATTTTAAGGATTACAAGAAAAACTCACATCTTATCAACTTATTCTTTTCCATTTATCAAAGTTCCCAGCCAAACCATTTAAACAAAGAAGTCAGTTTCAATAGACTTTCTAATTCAATCATGCCATGAATGAGGGTTACTCATATTATTTTCAGACAAAACAAAGAGTTCATCACACTAACCATATGTGAACATTGATAACTGGAACTCCAACCAATTTCTCCAATCTTTTGAAGTACAGCATCTCTTTCCAATTTTCAGGCAAAAGAAGCTTTAGGATGTCAACTGAATAAAACAAGATCCATAATCCAAATTAGTGAAATATATATGTAAGTACAAACTATAGTTAATAGAAAAATATATAGTATACCTGGAGTGGCAAATACATAAACATCTCCTTCAATAACTTCCCCGCTAGTTAGTAAGAAATTCTTCACAGTTCCATTACCATCAAGCTCAATTTTCTGTATCCGAGTATTTAGTCGGACTTCACCACCTAGTGACTGAATGTGATTAACAATCGGCATGCAAACTCTCTCTGGGGGACTACCATCTAAGAATGCCATCTTGGAACCATGCTTCTCCTGTTAAAAATAATAAAATATATTCTGAATCAGCCATTCTCTACAGAAGTTCGTTTATGTATATTAAGTATAAATAACTAGAAAAGTATATCCAATAGTATATCAACAACAATGCTTATTCACATTATACCTATATTCATATGCACAGATACGACCAAAACACACATAATACTCACAACAACATGTTAGTTGTTATCATGAGAAAACTAAATTAGGTCTCGATTTGACTTGATCAGATAGTAAAACAAAGTAGAGAAATAATGCTAGGGACATCGGGATTCTTACACCGAAATCTTGTACCAGCCTACATATCCCGTGACTCACACCACACACGTTTAACGTTATTAAATTTTTTTTCTAGGCCATTCATCAAATATGGACGACCGTTCACTTATATGGACTCCCGTCCATATAATATGGACGGGGGTCCATTTACTACGGACGGGCGTCCCCCTTTAAAGGACACTCGTCCATCAGTAAATGGAATAAAAAAATGTATACAAAACTTAGGGATGGTCGTTCATAGGTTATGGACGGCCGTCCATAAATATTGGACAGGCGTTCATATGTTAACTATCATTTTTAAAAATTAAAAAACATTTAGAGACGGTCGTTCATAATTTATGGACGGTCGTCCCTTAATTTTGGACGAGAGCCCGCAAATAAGGGACGCCAGTCCATAATGAAAATATAAAAATTTAAAAAAAAAACTTTGGACGCCCATCCATAAATTGTGGACAGGTGTCCCTTACGTTTGGATGGGCGTCCGTAAGGAATGGACGCCCGTCCAATAAATCTTCAGTTTTTAGAATGTCCGGTATCTCTTATCTTGTGTTTTTCTTTATCTCTCATCATTTACTTCTTTGTCAAGGTCAAGATGCTAAAAACTCCAACCCAAGATGCCCATCTTTGTTCAGTTGTGGTGTTCTCGGCAGTATAAACTTCCCCTTCTCCAATGAAACATATCCTCATTGTGGGTTCTTGAAAGTAGAAGCTGCAAAAAACAAGTTCAAAAAATTCGGCTGAGGAAAAATTTTCCATGGTTTTACGTTACAAGTATCTCTCAAGATAGTTCGCTTGTGCTTCGAGACCAACGGAATATGAAAAGCCTATGGGCAACCATAGCTGTGTTGAATCCTTGAGAAATTTTATCGTTCCTAGTTTAATTTTATCTCTTTTGGAGTAAACAATCAAACCTTTTACAAGTGTTCTGGCAAGCCTTACAGTGCTCCCGTAGATTACTCTTCAATTTGCAGTGACTCCAACCACTTCATTCTCTACTACAGCGGCTCAAATCATCAGAATCTATCATCAATGTTTAATTCTAACTGTTCACTTATCCCGTTCAAAATCAATAAGACTCAAAAGGGTCTTCAATTATTTAATTTATACACCGGTTGGTTCCGGCTACAAGTGAATGTAACCGCAGAATGTCGTGAGTGTTATCTGATGGGAGGTCAATGTCAAATTGATGAGGGGAAATTTCACTGTCTAAATGCTATAGCAGATAACAAAGGTACTAGAACTTTTATGTTTTGGTTTCTTGTTTGAGGTTAATTCTTTAATAGCATGGCTCAAAATTGATGCTTTTCTTTGATTTTGATTGGCCTTTGTCCCTTCCCCACCTTTGTTTTGAGGAACTCAGACAGCTAAACTAGAATGCCATTTGTATGATGTTGTTATGAATTTTGATGAAGCAGATAAGTAATTTTCTTGTTTTGTGAACTGATAGAGTTGTATTTGTAACTATTTTTTGCAAAGGATGGGAAATCACCGTTGAAGCTAGCCCCAACGCTAGGTAAAATAACTCTTTGATCAACCTTTATAACCATGAAAAATTCTGATTCAGACCAGTGTTAGTCAGTCCATTGATGTCTTTGGATCATTTGAAATTTCTGCTGCATAATGGACGAGCATCCATTCCTTACGGACGCTCGTCCAAACGTAGGGGACGCCCCTCCACAATTTGTGGACGGGCGTCCAAAGTTTTTTTTTTTTAATTTTTATATTTTCATTATGGATGGGCGTCCCTTCTTTGCGGGCGCCCGTCCAAAATTAAGGGACGATTGTCCATAAATTATGAACGACCGTCCCTAAATATTTTTTAATTTTTAAAAACGGTTGTTAATGGACGGGCATCCATTAACATATGAACGCCCGCCCAATATTTATGGATGGTTGTCCATAACCTATGAACGGTCATCCCTAAGTTTTGTTTATATTTTTTTATTTCATTTACTGACAGACGGGCGTCCTTTAAATGGGGATGCCCGTCCATATAATATGGACGGGAGTCCATGTAAGTGAACGATCATCCATATTTGATGAACAACCGTTCACTAGAAAAAAAAATCAATAACGTGAAACGTGTGTGGTGTGAGTCACGGGACACGTAGGCTGGTACAAGATTTCGGTGTAAGAATCCCGGTGTCCCTTGATAATACCGGAAAAATACATTTTCTGGCTCTCCAATAGTCTAAGAGATCAATGTTGGCTCTCTGTTGTGGATCTACTGATAACATTTTAGGGGTTGCCAAATATTGTTGAAGCTCATTACTCTACGACTGCATGGAAGACAGTACATTAGTTGTTGTTGTTGGTGGAGCTTCTGAAGAGGAGGTTGTGCTTCTGATTTGGGTCCTTTTCGGCCTATTCGGTGACCCCAAGAGTAGAAGTCTTCATTTGTTTCTTCTGATGCAGCTTCCTTGGATGTTTCGCCTCTTTGCGGGTTCCCATACCTATTTTCATATTGGAAATATACTTCAAAAAGTGTATTTTTTACCTCTCTTATTTGATTGGCATATACTTCGGTTTGTAAATTTTCACATAAATTGTCAAAACCATTTTCTAAACCTGCTAATTTAATTATAGGATCAAAATATAGCACCTAAACAATAAAGAAAAGGAATGGGTTTCCAATATTTTTAAAAAAAAATTTCCATTGCCTTTATTGGTGCATTTAAAATTACATTGTCTTTGTTTTTTTATAAATAACTCGGAAATTTTTATAATTGTATGTATTACCAATGGACTAGTAGGATAATACACACCAGAAAGTTGTAAAGTGGATTGGTAAAAAGTTTTAAGAGAAGAATGAAATACTTTAGCTATTTGCCAATAATTTTCTACCAAATAATGAGGACTTCTATTATTCGCTACAAAATAACTAATTATGTTAGCATAAGGTAAATATGAATCAAACATTAAATAAATACTATTCTATCTAACAGGCATGTCTGATGCAAAAATTCTAGGAGACATATTTGATTTTACACAAGCATCTTGAAATTTAGCATTTCTTTTATTACTACTAGTACGTAATCCAAGCTAAACAATCTCTAATTCTATTAATATTTTCTTTAATTGTTTTCATACCACTTTTCACAATTAAATTAATAACATGGCTTGCACAACGTTGGTGAAAAAACTTCAAATTGTTATATAAAGGATAATTACTTTGAAAATAATCTATAGTTTTACTATTAGAACTTGCATTATCTAAAGTTAAACTTATCACTTTACTAACAATATCATAATCTTCTAAAACTTCAACAATTTTATTATAAATTTGTTCACCACTATGATCAACATCCATTAATCTAAATCCTAATAAAGATTTATTTAATTTACATTCATTATCAAAATAATGACTAGTCACACAAATATAATCTTGTTTAGCTCTACCACTCCAAATATCGGCAGTTAGAGCCACACTAACATGACAAGTATGTATTTTATTTTTTAATTCTAATTTCATTTTTTTAAACAATTTTATTAAATCATTTCTAGTTGCAGTTTTAGAATAACTTTTAAATCCTGGAAAAAATGAATTTTGAACAAATCTTTCAAAATATTTATCTTCAGCCATATTAATAGGTTGATCAGTTGCAGCAATATATAAAGCTAACTGTTCCCTATATACATCAGAATTATAACGCCAATTAGTACCCATATTAGTTATTTGAGTTTGATTGCTTTCTCTATTTCCATGTTGATTAATATGTTTATTAGCATGTCTTTTTAAAGTACTAGTACCACTACCTGAATCAGCTTTATAAATATTTTCACAGTATTTGCATCTCGCTTTCTTGACTTGAACGTCATTTTCTGTCTCGTAAAACTTGTCGAAATACGCCCAAACGTCTGATGTGTGTTTGTCTTCTCTTTCGACGGCAGTTGATGATCTCGCCTTAGCTTGAGATGAAGTTGGACGAGCACAACGATTACGAGGACAACTTCTAGAACCACTGGGAGCTGTTGGAATCGGGGGCATATTTTGAGGTGTATCAGATTCTGAGAATGGGAAAGCGGGACTATTTGAATCTCCTCCTGCATTTATGTCAGTAAAATCAGCGGGACTAGGACTAGGATAGTAGTTTCCTTCATCATTGTAATTGATGGAAGAGAAATATCTATCCATTGTAGTTGAAAAAAAAATTGATGTAGAAGAAATAAAAATTAAAGAAAGAGAATTGGAATATGGAAATTGGAATTTGGAATTTGGAAAATTGGAAATATGAATTAAAAATTGCAAAAACTAATAAAAATTAAAATACAAGCAAATTGATAACAAAGAGATTAAGAGATTAAGAGAATAAATGAATAATTGAGAGATTAGAGAATATGAGAGAATGAGAGAATTTGAGTTGTAAGAAAAATGTGAGAGTTTAAGGCCAATTTATAGAAAAAAATGGGAAAGAAAAATGACGAAAAAGACCCCTTCAATGGCTATAAAACGGCTATATTTCAAGGGTAAATAGGTAATTATTTTTTTTTGGCCAACCCGCAGGTCAACCCACCGGGTTGGCGGGTCTCTTTTAAAAGAGACAAAACAGCAACCCGCCGGGTTGCGGGTTGCCATTTTGCAACCCGGCCTGCCCAGGGGTTGCTGCCGGGTTGGGTTAAACCCGAACCACCATATTGGCAGTCCGAGTTCAACCCGCTTCATTGCGGGCCGGGTTAGGGTTGACCCGCCTAACCCGGCCCATTTTTTCCACCTCTAATGGAGGGTAGCTGCCAAGTGCTCAGTTGTTGCAACAGAATTCCTTCTTGTTTGAGTGAAAATAGCATTTGATAAGCTGTTTTTCATGGACTTATAAGAAAACATATCCACAGCGTCTAGCTCAGACTTCTTATTATCATTCAGATCTTTCTGGGATGCACTTAGCATTGATGATGTCCTCAGGCTTTTCCTGCTATTGTTAATTCTAGGTGAAACACTTGGAGTTGTAGACTTAAGAACTGGAGATCCATCAGTTCAAACTATGCTGAGACAAGAAGAAGACACACAATTCACAAATCCATTTCCATATTCATCAGGCATATCTTCTCCTGAAATTTCTATGGAAAAACCAGCCAAAGGATCAGACATTGGGCATGAAGATCCATGTCTCACTGAATTCCTTAGTGATCCTTTGTCTGGCAATCCACTGACAAAAGAGCTAAGAGCCTTTTTTCTCCTCGGGAAGCTGCACAGAGGAGTCTCGAACATGTGAATCAACACTTAAACTGTTTGAAATTCCTTCATCATTTTGTTCCTTGGTAGTATGATTTATGACAGTACCATTAGAAAGGCCTGAAGTAATTGTAATAGATTCAGCACAATCAACAATCATGAGTTAATTTTTACAAAGCACAACTTGTTCATATATTCCCTCTTCCATTTTAACATCTGTATCCTCTGAACCTTTTTCTTTAATACAGACAGTTTCAGAAGTGTTAAGCTGAGGCTAAAAAAAAAGATCCATTTTCAGACACCTCTAATTTTGAATGAGACTTAATTGTTTCCACTCTTCCCTCTGAAATGTTGTTGCTGTCTTCACCACCTGCTAACTGCATATCTACATGGTCACAGATCTTCTCAACATCATCCTCATCAATTTCCATCTCCTCATCCCCATCAATATGAGGTAATGTCATAGGATGATGTAAGCTACGTTTTAATATATTCAAGCTTCTACGAGCCCAACCGG